TCAATCCTCAGAGCTCAGCCTTCTGAGTATCTAGGATTATAGGCATGAGCCACCAGCACCCAGCTTTATCCTGTTTAATGTTCATTATTGGTTCCCTTTAGATTTTTACGTTCAGTTAATATGCACTTAGGGACAGGCTTTGTCAGCAATATAATCACTTGTTTTTTTCTTGCACGTCCTGGGCTTGAAATCAGGGCCTGGGCATTGTCCTTGAGCTACTTTGGCTCAAGGCTAGCACTCTACCACTTAAGCCACAATGCCACTTCCCACCTTTTCTGTTTATGTGGTACTGAGGAATGAATGAATGATAGACAAGCACTCTACAACTAAGCCACATTCCCAGCCCTATACTGGCTTCTTGTTAATTATTTTCTATTTTGTCCTTTAATTGTAATAATTATTCTAAAATAATGTAAAATTTCAACAGGGTTTAAGTTATATTTGTATGAAATAAGTGTTATTTTGTTCCTGAAGAGATGTGAATTATCTGAATTATACTTTTGAATATTTTGTTCAATGAGCCTAATGGAGTAGTGTGTAATTTTTAACTACTAAAATATATGGATATGACTGTAAGTCAACTTCATTGAATTTTTGTCAGAATTATGAACAATTTAGAAGTTTTCTTTACAGTCTTGTATTTGCTTTAAAATCTCACATATTCTGCTGGATTTAAGTATTGTACTTTTCTGTGAATTACTCTTTACCCTAAGATGTAATACAATAAAAAATTTCTATCCACTTAAATTATTCTTGAAACCATTTTCAGCCTTCATTCTATTTAAGGAATTAAAATCAGCTGGCTTCAAGTGGCTCAGTCCTATAATCCCAAGTAGTCAAATTGAGAGGTTCAAGATTTGAAGCTAGACCAAGCAAGAAGTTCATAAGACCACCCATTTCAAGCAATAAAAAGCAGAGCACAATGTTACATGCCTTTTGTCTCAGCAATAGCATGAAGTATAAATAGGAGGATCACAGATGAGTTTGTCCTGAGGAAAAGTTGAAACTTCATCTTAAAAACAACTAAAAGAAAAGGGTCTAGGCTTAGCTTAAGTGATAGAATACCTCCCTAACATATATGAAGTTCTGAGCTCAAATCCAGTCTTCAAAATTGGAATGCAAAAAAGATAAAAATGACAACAGAATTGAGCACAAATATGCAAGACATAGAGTAATCAATTGTAATGACTTCTCCATTTCTTAATGTTTTTTTGCAGTATAGAGGGTTGAACCTAGAGTCTTCAGCATTATAGACAATTACACTACACCCTTAGACCATGAAATATCTTTTCTCTATGACAACTAATACAACTGGTTGAAGTTTTTACCAGCATATTTCAATGTCATAACACTTCACATTTACATTTTCTGTAATTGTTTTAGTTTTGAGACAGGATCTCACTCTGTAGTCCATCCAAGGCTGTTCTCAACCTCATGTTCCCTAATACTGGAGTAACACATAAGTACTGTTGCTCTTGTCCCAAGCTCACTTTTTTGTTTTATGAGGAAAGTTCAGTTTGTATAATTACCCATAGGAGATTAATCAAATAATATCTAGAATCCACCCAATCTTGCACTTATAAATTAGGGATTCTTTCTTGACTGCTAGTGAGTAAGCCAGACTGTAGAGTACGTAAATTTTTGAAATTCAGATGAGTTTGGATTTGTTTGTGTGTTTGCATGCATGTGTGCATGCATGCACACATATGAGAATGAGAACTGAGGCTTAAACTTGGGACCTCATGGTCTCCCTAAGCCTTTCCATTTAAGACTCGTGCTCTACCACTTAAGTCAGTACTCCATTTCTGAAATTAGTTGTTAGAATTTAAATATCCATTACGTTCACACCTTCTAAAATAGGCCAGTGGTCACAGAACCAAAATAGATTGAAGGACAAATAATAACACTTAAATTTCAAATGTTTGTATATATACATATACACATCTTTTATAATTCATTTGCATCATATTTAGGTGTTGGACATAGTGAATTTAATAAGTGGTGTTCTAAGGACAGAAATTCTACTGAAAGCAGTATAGTCATTATGACCTGAAGGTCTACACTTTTCTTACAATCACAACTTATGTGTATATTTGGTGGAATTAGGTGGTCATGTGGTAGCCTAAATAACTCTCTCTCTCACACACAATCTGATTAAATGTCATATATATATATATATATATATATATATATATATATATATATATATAAACCAATAGGAAGAGGATGATATGACAAGTTAGGGATGGTGGCACATCTCATAATTCCAGTTACATGTGAGGCAGAGATCAAGAGGATCACAGGTTGACTTTAGGCCAGGCTAAAAGTTATTGAGACAATCAAGATGTGGTGGTATACATCTGTTATCCCAGCTACATGGGAGGCAGAGGTAGAGCGATTACTGTGTGAGGCCAGCCTGGGAAAGTAGTGTGAGAAATTATCTAAAAATCAAATTAGGGCTGGGAGTGTGGTTTAGTGGAAGAGTGCTTGCCTAGCACTCATGAGGTCCTGTGCTTGATTCCTCAGTAACATGAAACCAGAAAAAGCTGGAATTGGTGCTGTGACTCAAGTGGTAGAGTGCTAGCCTTGATCACAGAGAGGCTCAGGGACAGTGCCCTAGCCTGAGTTCAAGCTCCAGGACTGGCAAAAAAATTAAGGCAAAAAGAACTGAAGGGGGGCTTTCATGACTCAAGTAGGTATGACCCTGAGTTCAACTCTCAGTATTACCATCAACAAAACAAAAATATGGTAACTAAATTTCTCAGATAGAATGTGAGCATGAGAACTACAGTAAGTTTTATTCTATGGAATTTTTCTTTTTTTTCTTTTTTTTGGGGGGGTGGGGGGATGTCGGATCGTGGGCCTGAACTCTGGGCCTGGGCACTGTCCCTCAGCTCTTCAGCTCAAGGCTAGTGCTCTACCACTTGAGCCACAGTGCCACTTCCGGCTTTT